TTGTTTGAAGAGATTGGTATGATGGATCGCAAGTCACAAAATCTTTTATTGAAAGTAATCACAAACAAGTTGGTAGTGGTACATCAGTTGACATGGGAAGATATCAGAGATTGGTTGAAAGACTCAATTATCTCTCACATACTAGATCAGACATACTTTATGCAGTTAGTCTGGTGAGTCAATATATGCATGATCCTCGCGAGACTCATTTACATTTCTTTCGAAAATTACGATATCTGAAATTTGCACCAGTAAAAACTTTACTCTTATTTAGAAATAACCATCTTAAAATAGAAACATTTACAGATACTGATTGGGTTAGATCTCCAGATGACAGAAGGTCAACTACTGGTTACTGCATACTCATTGGAGACAACTTGGTTATATAGAAAAATAAGAAGCATAGTATAGTTGCCCGTTCTAATACTTAAGTAGAATATAAAGTAATGACTCAAGGGGTATGTGAATTATTATGATTGCAAAAACTAATGAAAGAATTAAAACTATTTAAAAAAAAAAGTCTATTGTTGTTTTATGACAATAAAATAGTCATTAATATTGCCCAAAATCCAATTCAACATGATCGGACGAAACACATTAAAATTGATCGTCACTTCATAGAAGAGAAAGTAGTTGATGACTCCTTATACTTATATCATATGTCTTCTATCAATCAGATGGGTAATATTTTCACTAAAGAACTTTGCAACAAAATTCTTTAGAACCTGATATGCAAGTTAGGCATGTGTGATATCTTTGCACCAACATGAGGAGAAGTGTTGACATGAATATTTTGTTGCCTAAATAATTGTGATATTTTTCCTATATAATTCTTACTTTTAATTATGTACTATCCCTACTATAAGAGTAATTTTCTTATTTGTACATATGAATCTTGTATATATATGTGTCGTCTGTAATACCAAAACATATAGTGGAAATAAATTAAATATTTTTTCCCAAATTTCTACATATATATATATATGCATAAATTAAAATAAATTATTCGTGCATATGTGTATGATAACTATACTTAAAAAGTAGCTGGAAGTTTTACTTTATTATTTCAAAGTCAAGCTACATTATATTTTTCATTTTCTAAAAATTGTTTTTCATTTTCAACTACCGCACATGTTCTTTTTTTTTTTTATATCATTTGCAATATATATGCACATACTGCAGATAATAATAATAATAATCCTGAAGAAAGTCTATCTGCCTCGTACAACTGTCATCAAGTGAGTAAGGTCTCTTTCCTTATCCACTAAGACTATGTAGAGGGTGACAATATATATGCATATAATATACACCTGTCCACTTACATATTTACTTATTTACATTCAATACACGTGAATAGAAAATGAAAAGTATATATTATTTCTGTTAAATGCAATCTTATTATTTATTTCAAACTGCCTTGCTCCACCACCATTTTATTTGTCTCAAATTAGATGCTCTTTATCATAAATCACAAGAATGCCTTTTTTCTTAGTAAAAGCTGCTACCACATTGAAAAGAAAACCTATCATAAACAATCACACTGTGACTAAAACAAAACAAAAATTATACAGTCAGATTATGCAATAATGGAAATTAGAATGATTGACATATGCAAGAAAGCAAATAAAGACAGATATAGGGCTTTACGTGTCAAGTAAGTGAAACCAAAGAGTCTCTGACTCCTCAGGATTCAAGCGAGGGGTATTCCGCTTACATAATCCAATAGAAGCATGCAACACATCAAATATGTCATTCACCTGCAAAGAAAGATCATAGGTAACATAAAATAGCCCAGGTGGGGGGGGGGGAGGGAGGGAATGATGATGATCTTAACCAAGCTTTCTGATCTTGAAGTTTACCTCCTTAAAGTTTAAAACTGTGGGGAGATGCGTCATGGTGGCAGATTCACTCAAACTTGAGTTTGAAACCAAACTTAAAACAGCAGCATCAAGCTCCATAAATTTGTCATCAAGACCAGAAAGTGTAAGTACAAGAGCACTCCCAACATCACCAACCCTTTCTAATAAAAATGCAGCTGCATCAACAATTCCATATTCCTGGCACAAGCGTAGACAGTGTTCCACCCGGTAGCTATCAAAAGTTTCCAAGAATTTGAGAACTGAATCTCGTTCAAACTGGCATAGTAGCTGTGAAGGTGAACTAGAAAGTAATTAGAGCAGAAAATGCATCCATAAGGCAAGAAGGTGCTTCTTCACACTATGATTTGGGTAACCATTTTAAATACACAAGTCACACAAAAAACAAAATTAGGTAGTCAGAGGTAGTAGGACGAAACCATCAACCATTTGCTGCATTATTCAAGGGCTCACCTCTAAATAAAGTTCAATCATATCATCAGTCACATTCACAGGATTATTACGCATGAATTTAGGGAAGTCAGATATCCTTTCCAAGTATGCCTTGAGTCTTTTGGATGAATCCTTTACCCTTCTTCTATAAGAATCATCCACATTCACATCGTCATCTTTTCTTAATTTAGAGAAGTCGAGGGTTCCAGATAAGTGAACCTCAATAATGGTCTTCAGATAAAGGAAAAGGCTTTTTGGATGAGAATTAAGTCCAGATAGAATATCCGAACTTTCATCATTAAAACAGTCGATGACTAGGAAGAATGCGCATTCTCTGCAAAAGATCAAAAAAGTGAAAAGCATGAGATTCAAAAAAACAATCTCAACGCCATAAAATCTTACACAATATTCATTACAAGGCCAGAAAACTTAACTGAATGCACTACCTGTTTAAGTCAACAAGTTGTGAAATTCGAGATATAACTGCGGATCGAAAAGCAGCAAGTTCATTGCCACTCAGCTGTTGCAATATTTCGTGGATAAAAGAGAAGGCATGAATAGGTTCATCTACATCTCTCATATAGCTATCCAAAGCAGAAAGATTCTGATGTCTCATGGTGTAAATAAAGCCACAAACCTGAAATCAGAGAAGATTTTATAATAACATTGAACCAATTTATTTGTAATAAACCTTTTTATTTCAAAAAAAAAACATTGAACGAATTTAAAAATCCTAAACTAATGGCAATACTCTCTAGAAGCAAGAGATCATTAAAGAGTGAAAGTTGAAAGATACCTGGTAAAAGTGTGCCTTCTCACAAAGATGTAACACATAAGATCCATCCCAATCAAACTCTGGCAGTACTTTCAGAAGGGCTAATAACTGGTTCTCTCTCTTTTTGGAAGAAGCACTTGAGGGAAAATTATTTTCAGATGTCAGGTACTCTAAAATCTGAGTGAATACCCTTTTGGAGATATTACTTCTACAACAAGCAACATAATATGCAATGAACTCAAATAGGTGACCAAGGTCTTTCTTTGAAGGCCATGCTTCTGCTGATCCAGCGTCTTCAATGCTAGTAGATCCAACTTTTTTAGAGACATCTCCATCAACAATATGAACCAGAGAATCAATCGTCTTCTGCACCAAAATATTCTGACTTTCAGCCATCAACTTGTTTTCTCCCTTACCATCTGAATTCACATAAGCCGACTCAGAAAAGGAGAAGTCAGCTTTTGGGGTTTCATCTTCCACAAATGCACACCTCAGAACATCTAATGTAGCTTCAGTATCTAGCTTTAAGAGATGGTACAGGTTCAAGCATGCTCCTCCAAAGACTAAATCCGAAGCAGCTTGTGAATTGCGGGCATCAGAATCCTCTAATAGGAATTGCAGAAGTTCAGTTCTAAGGGATGGCAAGCGTGTGGGAGGAAGAGTCCCTTGTCCTGCATAGACAAATGTAGTTCTTCAATTATCCCGGATGTTATGTTGTTCCCTTCCAGCACATTGGAAACAACACTGTACAAGGGATTTAGCTTCAAATGTTTTGCATAAAGAAACTGGTTCATATTTTAAACTTTGTCATCAGTACCTATAGTTAAACTTCATTGCCATTGCATTTTCAAAGAGATAGAAGGAATTTTTAACTGTTGAAACATATCATGAATCAACATTATTTCGAACTTATTTTTTTAAAAAAACATTATTTTAAACTTAACACAGAAACTGGCAAAAGAGCAAAGATACCATCCAACAAAAGTTTTTAGGAACAAGTAGAAAACCTAAAAGTACTTCTATAATCAGAAAATTTTTGAAAGATGTGACCTCACTATCAAAAGAAGCGAACTTGAGACCATTTCTCTACAGTGTCATCAGAACTGTTGTAATAAAAGAGAGACAGAGTTCTAGAAGGTTGGCTCATGTAGCAAGTTGAACCCTCCTCAATGTATCAGGAACATGTTGAGACCTACAAATAAAGTGACATGATACCACTTGTCTACATTGTCATCTTAACTATGCTAATGAAACAGCAACAGAGTTCCAGAGGATTGGTTCATGTGGTAAGGTGGGTGCTCCCAATGCATCAAGAAAGAAGAATATGTCAGAGTTGGAGACTTGTTGGGCACACTGAATACCCTGGGGCAACCAGAAGTTCTAGCCCAAGAGGTAATTGGGCAATGTGCATTGGCAGGCCAAATTGCACATCCAACAAGAGCTTAAGTGAAGCAAAATGCAGCAATTATCATAATCACCAATAGTATTAAAGAAAGCAACACAAACAGCTAAAAAAGGTCTACTTTCTTAAACAAAAAAACCATGATTCTAGTATGTTTTTTGGAATTTGTCCTAACCAAGACCCATGTAGATATTTCTCGGACAAGTTTAACTGAAAAGAAAGATGTTTTCAGCAGGTCAAATAAGAAGGTATATCTTACCTGGTGGGAAAGCAAGGCCTGAAAAGCAGTACTTAAGATAAACAAGCATCCTGTACCTGTCAACATAATAGTACTAATGTTGAGAATAACAAATTGATAATAAATAGTTAACATTTCAATACATGGAAAATAATATGATTCAGCTATCTAGAACAAATAGGGAAGAGAAGGGACTTGATTTTTACTCAGTTCTTTTCGAATTCTCCAAAAACCATGCTATTTATAAATAATAACAGCAACTTGTGCCGAGCTTCACATATTTGGCTTAAAGAACTTGAATGAGTGGTGGGTAGTGTGGTTGGGAATTACTATCATGTATTTGTGGGAGGATGCGAAATTCTTGATGCAGCAATTATTACTAATGAAATTGTTGACTCTATGATGAAGAGAAACATGGATCCTTATATTTAAGGTGGATGGCAAAAGCATAAGATCATGTGTCCTGAGGGCTTGTTCTTTTTCTTTTCTTGGATAAAAGAAGAAATTATTAAAGATTGTAGAAGAGAACAATATAAGAGGAGGATAAGACATCTTTTAAGACCTTCTGAAATAGTAGAAACAGAAAACCATTAGAAAAACAAAAATTATTTCAAAGTAGCCCCCTAATTTATTTGTAGAATGGATAAAGAATTGGCTCCATATCAGAACAAGTGGGGGAACCAGGGTGTGGTTGGTGGTGACTTCAACATGATTCTGTGGCGAAGTGAAATGTCTGGCGATAACTTTCCCTCTGTGTGCGCTTAGGAGTTTAGAGATAAGATTGATAAGCTAAACCTGATGGATTAACCTCTCAAAGGGGGTACCTGGACGTGGAGTAATTACAGAGACAATCTGTCCTTTTCCAGAATTGACCTTTTTCTGGTGGCCCATGACATTCTCCTTAATTGCCTGGGCCTGATTCAAAAGGTACTATCCCGACCAATATCCAATAATTTTTCAATTTTTTCGGTCTCTGATGGTATCAAATGGGCCCCTGTCCCCTTCTGGTTTGATAATAAATGAGTGAAAACTAATAGTTTCAAGAAGTTTGTTCAAAATGTGTGGACTAGTATCAAGGTGGAGGGCACAACCAGCTTCAGAATCGTTGTCAAATTCGAGATGCGTAAAGCCGAAAGTAAAAGATGGTCCAAAGAGGTTGGGCTTAAGGAGGAGCAGATCACTAATGATATCTTCCCGGAGCTCTCTGATCTTGACAACCGTGAGGGGGTGATGGGCCTCACTGTGGACGAGAGGAAGAGAAGAAATACCTTGAAGATTGATTTGGCAAACAGGCTTCACCTTAAAGCGGTTTCTTGGAAGCATAAGGCGAGAGAAAAGTGGCTTAAAGAAGGGGATAAAAACACCAAGTTTGTTCATTGTCTTACCAATCAGCAGAGGAGGAATAATTATGTTTAGGATCTCATGGTTGATGGTAATTGTATCACTAGTAATTCGGATATGAGGGAGAGCGCAAAAGAATTCTATCAAAAGCTGTACAAGGAAGAGTTTTTTCTGCGATAAAGACTTGATAATCTTCATTTTAGGGTGCTTGAGGCAGACAGTAGTTGTCATATGGAAGCCCTCTTCACTGAAAAAGAGATCTTTGTTGGGCTCCGGGATTGCTGCAGTGACAAGGCCCCTGGACTCAACGGCTTTAACTTTAAGTTTTTGCAGGTGTTTTGGACCCTAATTAAGGACGATATCATTTATATGTTTCGGGAATTCACAACTCTGGTATGTTTGTCAAGTCTTTGAACACCACTTTTATTGCTCTCATTCCACAAAAAGAGGGGGGTGAAAAACATTAGCGAGTTCCACCGAACAGTATCGTGAGCAATCTGTATAAACTCATTTATAAGGTTCTGACCAGAAGATTGTCAAAAGTACTACATCAGGTCATCGGTGAGTCTCAGCATGCTTTCATGAATGGTAGGCAAATCTCTGAAGCTTTCATTCCTGCCAATGAAATGATCGACGAGCTAGTATTTAATAAAAGACCTGGGGTGCTATGCAAATTAGATATGGAGAAAACATTTGATCATGTCTA